ATCGATGCTCAGCCAGGCAAGTGCGGTGTGATGTTCAGCCAAGGGAGCATGTAACCAAGGCAACGGTCCCTCAGCTTCGAAAAATCCATACCTGTCCTAGGCATTTATTTATTTTTTAAGTGAGCCTTGTTTGGTCTGAGAGGTGCCTGATTTTGTGACATTTTTTCTTCTTCCAAAGACCCAATGCAGAGGTGGTGTTTATTTAGCGTGCATTCCAGGATTGTTCTACGAAGGAAAAACCTTCATTACACAACTGGGGAAGGCTTTGCATATGGTACGATTTGGCAGTGGAAACATGCATCGTACCATGTTTCTGCCTGATTAATGTTTTTGCTTTGATGTACAAGGCATTGCCAGGTTCCCAGTCCATAAGATGTGAATCAAAAGTCCATCTATAAGGCCAGAAGCGATAAAGGAGGACTTCCGTGCATAAATATTTTTCCTGGTGGGTGAAATGTGGGAGTGAAATTCCGTCAACTAAACAACAGATAGAGAGTTGTTAGTTTACATTCCATGTAGGCTTGAATGACTATGGTGAGTGATGGGATAAACACGTCATACTCTGCTTTCATTTCTTGATTTTTGGTTCGTTGTTAATAAGCGTGAAGCTTTAAAATACTCAAATTGGAATAAGCGCATTGGGGACAAACCAGAGGTTAGGAGTTTAATTCCCCACGATGCCTCCATGGAGAAAAGCCAGCCTGTAGAGCTGTGGGCAAGCTACAAAACCCCAGAAGGCCCTTAGGTCTAAGGAATAATCAATGTCTTCTAAGTACTTTATGCCTAGGAAATCCTGGAAAAGGTTGCCATCCATCAGAATTAACTTGATGGCATAATTAATGAAGGACTAAAGTATCTTTCCAGTGTGTGGTTTTTGGGGAGAGGCTGTGCCTACCACTCACCTTCTTTGTGAAAATGTTAAAAAAGCAGAGGAAACTCTATTTCAGAAAGTGCCATCGTTAGAAACTACAACGTTTTAAAAGCAAAAAAGCAAAGTCTGCTGCACCCCTCAAAGCCCTCTCTGGGCAGTTTCCAATTTAATGATGCAGGCTACACATTGCTTCCCCCCCCCCCCCCCGCCCCCAGCAAGCTGGGTACTCAGGTTTACTGATCTTGTTCAGAGGGAAGGCTGAGCCAACCTTGAGCCGGCTACCTGAGACCATTGGGGATCAAACTCAGGCCGTGAGCAGACTCTCGGCTGCAGGACTGCAGTTTTAGCCCCCGTCCCACAAGGCTGCTTTTAAGGATCTTGGAGTCACTGATTCTGGTGACCACTTCTGAATGAAACCTGAGCCTCTTCCAGTGACCTGTTGCAAAATAATGGCAGCTGATTTGCAAACGATGGAGGTGTGTGTCAAGGGTCTGCGATGATGATTAGACTTTGGCATGTGAGTTCCCATTGCCAATGATGGGTTGCCGGTGATGCGGTGGTTGGCCACACCAACCGTAAGGCAGAGCTTCCTTTCTCTGCCTCAGCGTGTCCGTCCTGGTGTCTTCAGCTACAAAACTCAACTAGAATAGACCCAGCGACTCAAACGGATGTATACAAAATGCTGGTGTATTATTCAGCAATTGATTCCATGGGCGTATCCTGAGACTAGGATTAGCCATAAGACACTGACCGATCCGTCTTTTTTAAAGAACCAATTAAAGTCTTGGCTCTTTAGGCAGCCCTTCCCTCCTGTCAATATTTGACTTTTACTTTCTACTTAATCTTTTGTTTCATATTTTCCATCTTGATTAATACTAATATTGTCAATGTAAACTGTCGTTTTAATTGTTTTTATGAATAATTTTATTGTGAGCCTCCCTGAGTAGACATGTGTCTAGAAGAGCGGGATAAACAAACAAACAAACAAATAAATAAATAAATCTGAGCATCTCCCCCCCTTCAGTCAAAACTGGAGAGGATATTTTTGCAAGCAGTTTCCCAAAGGGCACCCTTTCCAAGTCCTACCCTTTTTCGGGAGG